CATATTGACACTGTGAGAGAGAGAGAGAGAGAGAGAGAGAGAGAGAGAGAGAGAGAGAGAGAGAGAGAGAGAGAGGGGAGAGAGAGAGGAGAGAGAGAGAGAGAGAGAGAGAGAGAGAGAGAGAGAGAGAGAGAGAGAGAGAGAGAGAGAGAGAGAGAGAGAGCTGATGTAGGTAACAACGGATGTAGGTATCAGCTGATGTAGGTAAGAGCTGATGTAGGTACCATCTGACGTAGGTACCAGCTGATGTAGGTAAGAGCTGATGTAGGTACCAGCTGATGTTCGTAAGAGCTGATGTAGGTGCCAGCTGATGTAGGTAAGAGCTGATTAGGTACCAGCTGATGTTGGTAAGAGCTGATGTAGGTACCAGCTGTTGTAGGTAAGGGCTGATGTAGGTAAGAGCTGATGTTGGTACGAGCTAATGTAGGTAAGAGCTGATGTAGGTAAGAGATGATGTAGGTACCAGCTGTTGTAGATAACAGCTGATGTAGGTAAGTGCTGATGTAGGTACCAGCTGTTGTAGATAATAGCTGATGTAGGTAAGTGCTGATGTAGGTACCAGCTGTTGTAGGTAACAGCTGATGTAGGTAAGTGCTGATGTAGGTACCAGCTGTTGTAGGTAACAGCTGATGTAGGTAAGTGCTGATGTAGGTACCAGCTGTTGTCGGTAACAGCTGATGTAGGCAAGTGCTGATGTAGGTACCAGCTGTTGTAGGTAACAGCTGATGTAGGCAAGTGCTGATGTAGGTACCAGCTGTTGTCGGTAACAGCTGATGTAGGCAAGTGCTGATGTAGGTACCAGCTGTTGTAGGTAACAGCTGATGTAGGCAAGTGCTGATGTAGGTACCAGCTGTTGTCGGTAACAGCTGATGTAGGCAAGTGCTGATGTAGGTACCAGCTGTTGTAGGTAACAGCTGATGTAGGCAAGTGCTGATGTAGGTACCAGCTGTTGTAGGTAACAGCTGATGTAGGTAAGTGCTGATGTAGGTACCAGCTGTTGTAGGTAACAGCTCTTAGCTTGTAAATATACTAAGGAACCTTAACCTAATCTTAGAAAAATCCTGTGTAAAAATGATAGAGAGATAGATAGTGAGAGAGAGAGAGAGAGAGAGAGAGAGAGAGAGAGAGAGAGAGAAAATTATTCAAGATGTCTTGAAACTGAGATGATATTTTCCATCATAATCATATATATATATATATATATATATATATATATATATATATATATATATATAATATATATATATTATATATATATATATATATATATATATATATATATATATATATATATATATATTATATATATATACATATATTTTTTTTTGCTTATTCTAAAACTGTCCTTTTTTTTCCTTTCAGAGTTCTGAATATAATGACTTCATATTTTTTTTATGGGGGGCTTTGCCCCCTTTTAGCTTTCTCTTCCTCTGTTCTTCTCTTACTTTCTTACACTATTTCTTTTCACTTTCTCTTTTTGTTTTTCTACTTTAGTATCTTCCTTTTGTTACATCTCTCTCTTTCATTTCTCTCTCTGTCTGTCTCTGTCTCTCTCTCTCTCTGTCTCTCTGTCTCTCTGTCTCTCTCTCTCTCTCTCTCTCTCTCCTCTTCTCTCTCTCTCTCTCTCTCTCTCTCTCTCTCTCTCTCTCTCTCTCGCTCTCCTGTTACTTTTACATCCATGACTCTTTCTCTAACTCTACTCCTCTCTCTCCCTCCATCACTTGTTTTATCCATCTCCCACCTTAACTTGCTTTATCCACTACAAACCATTTCTTGCTCTATCTCTTTCTCTCTCCATTACTTGCTCTCCATCCCTCCCCCTCCATCACCTGCTCTGTATACCTCTCTCTTTCCATCACTTGCTCTATCCCTCTCACCCTCTGGCACTCTCCCTCTCACACAGCATCCCTTCCCTCTTTCCGTTTACCCATCTTTCTCTCCCTCTCTCACCCCACTTTCCCTGCATCAGGCATTTTTCTGCCTTGTCTGCGTGTTCCTCCCCACTGCCAGTATTTACACTCGCACACACATCAGCGGCTAGCTCGACCCAATCATCCTTCAGTGACATGAAAAAAAACTTTTAACATGTTTTCTCTTTTGGCTCAACTGAGTTTGTCCAGTTGATCACCTTACATTCTCTTATTAAAGCAAATCTTGCATGTGATTCGTTTCTGTGTCTGTGTCGGTCTCTCTCTCTCTCTCTCTCTCTCTCTCTGTCCCTCTCTCTCTCTCTCTCTCTCTCTCTCTCTCTCTCTCTCTCTTGCTCGCAGACTCAGGCACAACGCTGCGACTTTAATAATCGCTGACATGGCCTGGACATCACAGTACATCTGTGAAGCGGCTCACCTGCCACCAACCCACCCACCTTCCCACCCAACCAAGCAACCACTTATTCATCCACTCCAAGCCAACCCACCTTCCCAAAAATCAACCAAGTCCAACCCAAGCCAACCAATCTACCCGCACAGTCGCCTGTCCTCCCACCCCATTTCATTTCCAAAGGACCTGTCTAATTCTCCCACATTTACCCTTCGGTTTGTTAGTTCCTCGTTGTCTCATCTCCCTCTGTTCCAGCTCATATTTTCACCCCCAGTATGTACTCAAACATCAGAGCAACATCTCCCTCTGCTTCACTTCATATTTTCACCCTAGTATGTACTCAAACATCAGAGCAACAACAAATTGCAAAGCAACATTGTCAGACTCACTCTGGGTGAATATTAAACCTGGCTTAATTAATCTCTTTCCCCCTCATATTTGTGTGTGTGTGTGTGTGTGTGTGTGTGTGTGTGTGTGTGTGTGTGTGTGTGTGTGTGGTGTGTGTGTGTGTGTGTGTGTGTGTGTGTGTGTGTGTGTCTGTCTGTCTGTCTGTCTGTCTATCTGTGTGTCTGTCTATCTGTGTGTCTGTCTGTCTATCTGTGTGTCTGTCTGTCTGTGTCTGTGTGTTTGTTTCATCGTTTTTGGTAGCTAAAGTAATATATATGTTCATATATATATATATATATATTATATATATATATATATAATATATATTATATATATATATATATATATATATATATATATATATATATATATATATATATATATTATATATATATATATATATATATATATATGTATATATATATATATATATATATTATATATATATATATATATATATATATATATATATATATATTATATATATATATATATATATATATATATATATATATATATATATATATATGTATATATATGTATATATATACATGGTAAAGTGTATGGTAGAGTTATTATTGAAAGAATTAAGAGTAAGACGGAGAATAGGATAGCAGATGAACAAGGAGGCTTTAGGAAAGGTAGGGGGTGTTTTGGACCAGGTGTTTACAGTGAAACATATAAGTGAACAGTATTTAGATAAGGCTAAAGAGGTCTTTGTGGCATTTATGGATTTGGAAAAGGCGTATGACAGGGTGGACAGGGGGGCAATGTGGCAGATGTTGCAAGTGTATGGTGTAGGAGGTAGGTTACTGAAAGCAGTGAAGAGTTTTTACGAGGATAGTGAGGCTCAAGTTAGAGTATGTAGGAAAGAGGGAAATTATTTCCCAGTAAAAGTAGGCCTTAGACAAGGATGTGTGATGTCACCGTGGTTGTTTAATATATTTATAGATGGGGTTGTAAGAGAAGTAAATGCGAGGGTCTTGACAATAGGCGTGGAGTTAAAAGATAAAGAATCACACACAAAGTGGGAGTTGTCACAGCTGCTCTTTGCTGATGACACTGTGCTCTTGGGAGATTCTGAAGAGAAGTTGCAGAGATTGGTGGATGAATTTGGTAGGGTGTGCAAAAGAAGAAAATTAAAGGTGAATACAGGAAAGAGTAGGTTATGAGGATAACAAAAAGATTAGGTGATGAAAGATTGAATATCAGATTGGAGGGAGAGAGTATGGAGGAGGTGAATGTATTCAGATATTTGGGAGTGGACGTATCAGCGGATGGGTCTATGAAAGATGAGGTGAATCATAGAATTGATGAGGGAAAAAGAGTGAGTGGTGCACTTAGGAGTCTGTGGAGACAAAGAACTTTGTCCTTGGAGGCAAAGAGGGGAATGTATGAGAGTATAGTTTTACCAACGCTCTTATATGGGTGTGAAGCATGGGTGATGAATGTTGCAGCGAGGAGAAGGCTGGAGGCAGTGGAGATGTCATGTCTGAGGGCAATGTGTGGTGTGAATATAATGCAGAGAATTCGTAGTTTGGAAGTTAGGAGGAGGTGCGGGATTACCAAAACTGTTGTCCAGAGGGCTGAGGAAGGGTTGTTGAGGTGGTTCGGACATGTAGAGAGAATGGAGCGAAACAGAATGACTTCAAGAGTGTATCAGTCTGTAGTGGAAGGAAGGCGGGGTAGGGGTCGGCCTAGGAAAGGTTGGAGAGAGGGGGGTAAAGGAGGTTTTGTGTGCGAGGGGCTTGGACTTCCAGCAGGTATGCATGAGCGTGTTTGATAGGAGTGAATGGAGACAAATGGTTTTTAATACTTGACGTGCTGTTGGAGTGTGAGCAAGGTAACATTTATGAGGGGGTTCAGGGAAACCGGCGGGCCGGACTTGAGTCCTAGAGATGGGAAGTACAGTACCTGCACTCTGAAGGAGGGGTGTTAATGTTGCAGTTTAAAAACTGTAGTGTAAAGCACCCTTCTGGCAAGACAGTGATGGAGTGAATGATGGTGAAAGTTTTTCTTTTTCGGGCCACCCTGCCTTGGTGGAAATCGGCCAGTGTGATAATAAAATAAAATAAATATATATATATATATATTATATAATATTTATATATATATTTATATATATATATATATATATATATTATATATATATATATATATATATATTAGAAATATATATGTCCTCTTTCAAAGCGCCGTGTTCAGTACATGATCGCATTATTTATTAATAAGTCACTGACAGAATGTTCAAACAAAAAATCACTTAATTGTAAAATTGCATATTTTGCCCACAGCTTGCTGGGCCGGCATGGACCAGACATCCTCCAGCTTCGCGTCCCGCGGTCCATGGGTGCAAGTCCAGCGGTTCCTGGTGCCCCGCTACGTGGCACTGGGTGTCAATGTGACGCTGGAGTGTGACTATGTGGTACAGCAGCACGCTACACTCTACTCCCTCAAATGGTACAAGGGTAACTCCCAGTTCTACCAGTACATCCCATCATTGCCACAACAACACGCTGCCTTCTCAGTAAGAGGCCTAGACCAGGGCCAGGTG